TTTTTTTTTTTGTGTGTGTGTGTGTGTGTGATACATGCTCAGTTGAGCGATGTATATGGAGCCAAGGATCTGCAAAGTGATGAAAAGGACTTGAATGGACAATGCAGAGTCACCAAAGCATCAACAAGCAATGTACATCCAAAAATAGCACAATGTAGCGCAGCGGAAGACTCAAAGATACGACCTGACGTATCAGAGACTGACGCGACATCCCATCATACACCACACATGTGAGAGAGGGAGGAGGGACCGCATACATGGAAGAAAGGTCCCTTCTTGCACACACACATGGGGGAGATACCACGGATGAAGAGATGGGGGAGAGGCGAGACGAAGATGGAGGTGAGGGAGAAGACCAAGATCGCGATAGCGAAGTACCAAAAATAGTCTCCCTGCCGAATGTTGAATCAGATCCTGGGCCTTATGCCCGATGTAACCTCGGCCTGTAACCTCTCTCTCTGAAGGAGAAGAAGAAGAAGAAGAAGAAGAAGAAGAAGAAGAAGAAGAAGAAGAAGAAGAAGGAGGAGGAGGAGGAAGGAGGAGAGATGGAGGGCGAGAGACGAAGAAGAAGAAGATGTTGTCCTCCTCGCTATCTCACCTGCAGGTAACTGCCGCCATGTACTAACTGTCGCCGCGTGTATCCTCTGTGCTGCAGGTGTGCTGGCGTGAAGACCAGCTATGGCGCCCAGGTAGGATCTCCGCCAACGCAGGTATCCACCTCACTCCCTACCTACACCTCTACCTCTACCTCCAGCGTAACGCTGTAGCGCTGCTCCAGCAGCGTGTCGCCGAAGAAGTGAGCTACTCAAACTGTGTCTGCCCTGCCCTGGCCCAGCTATAAGTATCGCTGGGCCTCGTGGGTATGCCTCTGGCCCTAGGCCGAAAACGTGGCCTACTGGGTCTGGGTCCTGACCGCACAAAACTGGCCCAAACGGGCCCACCTGCAAGCGAGCAAGGCCCAAAGTGTGGCCTTTGTCCGAACAGACCGGATGAACTGCCAGTCTGAAACGACGCCTGAACAGACAAAAATAGGACAGCAAATAAATAAATAAATAAATAAATAAATAATTTACAATAAATAAATAAAGGGAAAATTTGTCTGGCGCCCCTGTATTTTGCGTTATTTCGAGTCGCGCCCCTCCGACGGCCGGTTTACCCTGTCGCGCCCCTCGGCCAAAAAATATTTTCAGCAGGCCCTTGTCGGTGGTGACCGCAACTTTCCAGGACGCCCTCCTTCGACTGGCGGTCCCATTTCTCTCGGGCCCTGTGCCATATGCCCTCATGAAGGGAAGCCATCTTTCTGCAATGCCCCCGCAGACGTGCTCTCTCTCTCTCTCTCTTTCTCTCTCTCTCTCTCTCTCTCTCTCTCTCTCTCTCTCTGAACTCGCCGTGGCTCTCTCTCTCTCTCTCTCAGTTCGAAGTTGCAAATAGGGAATGAATCTTCCCGTGTTCGTGGAAAGATACGTTCAGGTGTTGCAAATTGCTGGCGTGCGAAGTAGTCACAGGAGAGAGAGAGAGAGAGA